TTTCGAATAGTTGTCCACCTAGATTCCAGCCCTTCCAAGATATTGCCAATTTTTCTAACTGTTCCCAATTGGTGCGCTCTCCAACAGGCGATAATCACATTTTAGATCTAATCTTTACCAATGACATTGCTCTTCTTTGCGTCGCTTTCAAAAATGACCTCTTTGACAATGGCCACGTATTAATTCATAGTTGCTTACCGCTTGCCTTTTCAAAAAAGACCAGCACCGTTCTGACTTATCTTAACTACGATTGCATAGATAACGACTTAATAAATAACTATATTAGATCATTGGATTGGTGTGGCTTCCCCCTGTAGCAATGCAACCATTCTTCGTGACGTCATGTCCAATGTTCCCAAGGACATCCTAGAGGTTGTGCGGCGTAGATCTCTCAAGCATGATTCTCCAGATTCCCTTGTTCCTCGTTTTCTTCACAACAGACTAAAAAAGCTGAGACGGAAGCTGCGTGACCTATCCACTAGTTCATTGTCAGTTTATCTTATAATTGCAGATATTTTTGAAATTTCCTCAAGGATGCGCCAAGCGCGCGACAGGCAATGAGAATCACTTGCCCTCAGTGATTCGAACCCTGGCAAATCCGTCGCTAACACCTTCTGTCATCGGTCCTCCTCAAAGCGTGGTCATGAACCTCCACCCCTGCTAAGCGATAACAAGATCTTCCTCATCGATGTCACCGATAAGGCGGAGTTGTTTAGTGCTTTCTTCGCAAAACACCTTAATAAATAGTCCGAACCGGTCCCTTTCTTTCGCTCACTTTCAGATAGGACTCTGAGTACGATCGATGTCTCCTCAGATCTTCTTAAGAAGCACATGAGTCATTTGAAAAACTAATACTGCTCAGGAACGGACGGGATTCCAAATTCTATTATTAAACAAGCATCCGACCTTCCCATTTTGCTTTGTCATTTATTCTCGGTTTATATTTCGAAAGGACTTTTTCCTAAAACATGGATACCGTCAATTATCATTCCTTCCGGTCTAAAATTCTCGATCTCGGTCAGATGTTAATAACTATCGGGGCGTGCACTAAACACCGTCTCTAACAAAGCTTTTTGAAAGGACAATTTTTAATGAGATTCTTCATTTCTGTCTAGCTTATTGGCTTCTGGGCTCTAGTCAGCATGGATTTTTGTCTGAAAGATCCTGTGAAACTTGCCACGTGGTCAGTCGTAGTTATCTACTTCGATCTAAGCAAAGTCTTTGACAAGGTGCCTCATAGATGTCCTTTAGTAAAATTGGAAGTTCTCGGCATCCGGCCGCCCCTATTCAACTACATCAGGCCCTATCTGTCCAATCGATGTCAGAAAGTCATTGTCGGAAATAGCTACTCGACACCTCACACTCTCACGAGTGGTGTACTTCAAGGCATGGTTCTGGATCCGCTACTCTTCCTTCTCTTCATCAATGATAAGTCGACTGAACTCGGAAATTCGCAAACTTTCATTTATGCCGAAGGCCTCAAGTGTGTTCACTCATATTCTGGGGACACCGCAAACGTTTGTTTTAAAAAATTAATGCCAATTTGCTACGCTTAAGCAGATGGGGTTCAACATGGCAGATGAAGTTTGCATCATCCTATTGTAGTTTCATGCCTTTTGGTACTGCCAAACTTCCTGGTGCCATAATTTTTCAGAATAATCCACTCTCAGAATGCTTTACCAAAAAAGAACCTAGGTTTAAGTTATACAAATAAACTTGCTTCATCACCTCATGCAGATCGAATCTCTGCCAAGGCCGCACAAATATGTGGATTCACATCGCATAATTTTTCCTTCCGGAAATGAGGCTAAGACCTTATCAAATGTTTGTTCTTCCAATCATCGAATACTGTTGTTCTTTCTTTGGCTTAATGTGACCGTTATAAAATCGAAAATGTTCAGAGGGTTTTCACCCGGAAACTGTTCTCTCAAGTCGCATCCGGTACTTCTCATACTCAGAAATTTAATCTGGCGAACACTAAGTTTTTGGCGGATTAGAAGACTCGAAGCTGGCCTTTGCTTCATTTTTCGCATCAACTCTAGCTCCAGTCTTCCGCTCATTGACACTTTCACTCCGAGGGATCGGTCTTATGCCACCCGCAACTCCTCCATGGTGATCCCGCCGAGTTTTTTCACCACATCTTAGCGCTCCCTCTACTTTGCTTCCAAATATGCCTTCCTTTGGAATAATCTTCCGCCAGAAATTAGGTCATTGCATAAGTTAATGGTATTCAAGTCGAAATTACGCAAACACCTTACACCGGAAATTATAAAGGCACTTTTAACGGTCTGATTCCCGAGCAATCAGTTCCTTGACTTCGAGAAGGGTCCTCATGGGAATAGTGGTAGATCAAGTGGAAACGCTTATTTATATCTTTACAACCTCCCGTTTTTAATTAGTTACTTAGTCCACTGATATCACTCCTTCCCCATTGCGAAGATTTTCACGGTACTTGATGTCACCTCCCGCATTTCTACATCAAGCGGTCTGTCGACGCTAACGGCGGAAGCCTCAGTATTCGCTGTCTACTAGTATTTGTGTCATACTTCCCGCCTCCACACCTCGACTGGGCTTGAAGCAGACTGTGGCTGTTCGCGTTTGTGTTCCTCTCCTCTGGCTTCTCTGACGCCTATAGTCACTTCCAGCTTATTAATTCTGCCCTGACGATGTCCGTTCTGAATCACGTATACATTACCACACGCAGACCAGTCCTGTCCGACCCGCATGCGTACCCCTCATGGCTGACATTTATTTCTGCCCTGACGATGTCCGATTATAATCCGTCATATACAGGTCAGTCCCGCCCGCGATTTTCTGTTATTAGTAATGAGGAGTTTTCTCCTGTAAAATTAATCCAATCATTTTTAAATTTTTCTAGTGGAGTTTTTTTCACCGCTCGCTCACCATTTTTTTCTTAACAGACAACAAATTCGGAGACGAGGAATTGCATTTTGTATACATTCTGCCTACCTCGTCTAAAATTCATATGTAAATTTATTTTTGCTTACTTTGATGGGAAACCGAAGGGTCATTAATAAAAAATCATCATTATCAACCATCACATTTGATATTTATTTTCATCATTTCGAGCTGACCCAGCCAAAAATGTTTGGTAGGAACGGTGGGCTGCGGAGGAGGGCGTCTTATTGTGGAACGCGTACTTTCAGCTTTTCCCAAAAGCGTACGGTTCGGATTCCTGCCTGTTAACCTTCCTTTGACTATATTCTTTCCAAATTTTTATAACTCCAATTCCTTACTGTCTCTGTGGTCGGCCTTCCTAGTTTGATTTCTCTTAATATGCTCCTCTTTGTCTCAGCGTAATTGTGCTTCTTTACCTTCTAGGGTGCCGGCACAGAAGCCCCCAACATGTAAATGAAAAGTAAAATTACGTGTACCCTAACTGACCCGCGTTAAAGTGAATAACGCTACTAGCACCGAATGGACTGCATCGCGGCTGGAGTCAAGAGCGACAAGTTGGCATATTGCTGGGGTCCTCGAAACACATTGAGCGGCGCAAACACAACTGCACCGTCTTTGAAGAGGAAACGGATAATTTTTTGAGAGCAACTCGCAGGAATCTTAAAATCTGTTTACACGAAAGCATGTTAAAGTGTTTCGAGATTGTCATAGGACATGGACAAAATTAGTGAGTATCATAGAGTAGTTTTAGTAGGCCGAAATTTTGGCGGAAGGGGTAGGATAGCGCTTTGTCACGAACCTACCCAGTCAACGGTACCTTTTTGCTACTTAATACTTTTATTTCCTTTTTCAGGCCACGTTTAACGCCCACAAACAACCAGAACAGACACTAAAATATGTGACGACCTACGGGGGACTGAGTATTAGTGCCTCAGTGATCGCATGCAGACGCCACACATAAAACATTAGAAGGATATAGTCTGAATGGGATACTATTATAATAACGGGTTAGATAACAAAGGGGTACAAAAGCGGGGGGAGAAAACGGATAAGAGTAGTTTAAATCCTAACAATGAGATTACGAAAGGGGGGAACGCAGCCGGCTGCATAAACAAGGGGATACATTAGACAAAGTAGTCATTAGCGGAACCCTGGTGATTGTTCTGGTTGTTTGTGGGCGTTGAACGTGGCCCTGAAAAAGGAAATAAAAGTATTGAGTAGCAAAAAGGTACCGTTTACTGGGTAGGTTCGTGACAGCTTACCTGCACGTTTTCCCGTGATGCTTATAAATGTGTTTTGCCCGGCCGATCTTGATTTTCAGAGCTTGTGGGAAACAGCAGTTCTTAAGTCACAATAGACTCCCACTGTTACTGACGCGATGACTTGCACGTGAATTGGTTTACAGTGAGAGTTGACTTGCGCGGCACCTGCCGCACTCCCCATCTGGGCCCGGTGTCAAAACATTGTCAAAAAGACCAGAGGCAAGATAGGACTCAGGTGGCTGGCACGGCCGGACCCGCACCTAGGCATGCCACCAAACCCCCTGGGTGACAACAAACTCTTGATCAGGATGTTTAACTCACAACTGCGCAACGGCCAGGAAGAAGAGGATGGCTGGACAAACATGGACACGACCCTTATACCCAGCTGGAGTGTAAATGCATCTACCGGCAGCGAACCGGGTGCCAGAGAACTGCCAGCGTACACCAGGCTGCGGGAGCCACGCAGCCGCTCACAATCCTTAAGGCCTGAATGGTATATAATATATAAAGATATAAATATTTAAAGATAATGATAAAATTTTGGAGTAATCTGAAAGCGCACAGACTTATGGAACAATCCAATATGAAGTCTGTCTGTCACCAACATTGCATTTTGTGCTAATGTCTATGCCTTAATGTGAATTCTTGCTCAGTATAAGCAGGGATCCCCTGTGATTCTTCATGTTCAGTTTTGCGGTTTTAAATTTCACTTTTGATTTGGCTATCGCCCGCCGCTTAGTTTCCTACTTTCCTTATATTACCAGACTGTTAATGCGCGAAATTGAGTCGGGTGACCCTGCGACGGATCACGAGGTACATATGTTTCCAAAAAGATCCGACGTGAATGTCCCCCAGCACCGATACCCCCACTGTCTGGTTTGGTGTCCTCTACCAATTATAAGGTAATCTGCCGTCCCCTTTATCATATGCATGTAGTTGGATCTTTCCCCCAATTGGTCACGTTGGAATAGCCGACTCAAAAGGCATCATCTATGACTTTGCGGGACCATACTACATTGGGGTACGTGGTGTTTTGTGTCCTTATTGATTATTCCTTCAAAATGTAGGAGGATAATATGGCCTTCGGTTGGCCGACGAAGTACCACCAAATCGACCTCAGTCTGGTAGGTGATGCGGATACGTGGGATCGCGGTGTGTGGGAAGCGAATGCCGAGTACAAGCAAAGAGTAGTAAGTTTTTACTGCTTGGAGCATGCTTACTTATTTTTTATGAGTATACGGGTCTATATTATTGCCTATTTTGCCTTGCTTCAGCACAATCTGTGTTGTGACAATTGTCACAGCCATGTTGCTTACGCCTTCAACTCTATGCGCTATAACGGCAAGTCGAACTGGAACATGTACAGTGTCTGGTGGTTCATTTTTATACACGGCAAATACACGAAGTAAGTGGATCCTGCCACGGACGGCGCTTCTAATTTTAACAAATAATATTTTCTGCACGTTCATTTTCTCCCGACCTCGGCCATAAATCGTCAACTACCCTTCTTCCACCAAAACTGAAAGTACCAAACACGAGAGCGTTTAGGCACACTTATTTTCTGCTACATTTGTTGTTTAATACATTGTGGCTACCCGTGACCGATGTCAAACCGGGGAATCTTGAAGCCAAATGGATGCACCCATTGGCCACTTTCCTCCTTGGCAGCCTGAATTATGGCAGCAATCCAACCGTTTCGGGAATCGGCGTATGCGATTGACTCCGGCCACCGTGCCTGTCTGTTATGGCCGAGCTGCGCACGGAAGACTTGATAGGAAAGGCTGCGCATAGGGCCAATAAACCGTGCTCGGGTATTTCTCTGTCCAAGTGATCGCTACCTCGGCCTTCAATTGTGGCTTTCTCCAAAGTGGACGTGCATCCGAAATTTATGCATTGTTCTGCCCTCTAAAAAAACGGGTCCATTCTTCTCACTTTATTTGTGCAGGTCACTGGTCATCTGCCGTAGAAGAGTGTCAAATTAGAGGTCACAGTAGTTCTTTGTAGCCAGTGTCGCCAATTTTTACAACCCACAGGACAAAAATATAAACCAGGCATGCCCATGATGCCTTTGTCATCAGACCGACGGGAATGCCTTTGTCATCCTCAAGCGGCTATTGGCCTTTGAATCCCGCAGTTTCCTTAATTACATTTTCTGGAACATCCAGCTGACAGTGGAAGCGGAGAACAACCAGATGCCGTCCCGGGACATTCATTTTCATCATGCGACCGACGGCAGCCTAAGTTGCCAGAGCAAACACCCCATACGACAGCTGTAGCTGTGTTCAAACTTAACATATAACCCCACTCCCCTCATGACTAATGAGTGTCGCCGCAACTCGATCGAACGCAGTAGATGGCAGAACCAAGCTTAAGTTCAGTGACAGCAACCGAAAATCTGGCGCTCACCCCCATGCCCTGACGGCCTTTCCGACGCAGTCGCTCCCCTCTTGCGGCCTCTGAGTATCAGTGATGCCCACAGATTTACACCCGATCGTAAGTCCAAAAATCGCCTTTTGAGGTGAAATGGTAAATATCGTTCATTTTACGCTCTCTTACCCTCGAAAATGAACAGTAGCCTTGACGATAACTGTTGGTGGCAATGGAAAGACGGACGCCCAACCAGCTTAACCGCCGGTCCGCGTCTTATCGGCTGCGATCGGGAACATCATCCAGTGATCTGATATATAGGACAGAACTTGCTCACTGCAAACAGTCACTCATGCAATGCTACTAAGGGAGGGGGGAGCGGAATAACAGCGTCTGACTTATCGATCATCGTTACTAGAACCGGTGACCCCAAACGCTTGGTAGGGGGCAAATTTCTCCCAGTATTCTCCCCTCCTCAAACCTCTTTCAACCTATCACTCATTGGCTTGCGTAAACTGGCCGAACGCACACTCTTGAAGTTTATTTGTCAGTTCCAATGCATCTGCCTCACTGTCGCGTGTGTGTGTGTTGGCAGGTTATGCCGTTTTTTTTTCCTTGTCTAACCTTCTGCTCTGATTTCTGCCCTGTTAGCTTTGGAGGCATTCTACGAACATGGCTTCCCTTCCTGATCCTGCTGACGATTGTTCTTCTGATCGCATTTCTGGTCTAGAATCCGATCAACTCGTTCTTTATTGTACTGGTGCATACTGCTGTACCTGTTTCTGCTTTCTTGCCCTCCGTTAAAACTGGGCACTATGTGACCTATTTTCCTTGCGACCGCTTCACTTTCACACATATTTTATGAGTTATCTATAAATTATTTTGTGCGTTTCTTCAAATTTTGTTTTCTTTTGCGAATTTCTGCCCGATTGCGTCAACAGAACCAGCGCCGGCTAAAGTGCATTTACGCATTTAACTGATTGCCACCATCTGGTGTCAGGCATATCTGGAGACGATCAGTATTCTGCCACTGGGGTGCTGATCGGTTACCATCCAGTTCGAACCGTGTGGAGACAACTCCTTGATACCTGAGTTATTGCCATATCTTTCTTCACTGTAAAAGCCGATCAAGATTCCCGCAAGGCCCATATTCAATTAGTGATTGCCCAGGGGAGTGGGTCAAGAGAGGTTGCTTCTGTCGGCCTGAAGGGTCGCTTGTTGGACAGACGGGCATTAGAATGGTGTATAGGATGGAAGTTTTTTTATTGGCGAAGTCGAATCTCCCGCCCTGTTTCGTGTTTGTCTCTCCAACTTTTCGACAGTTCACTTCTCTGTTTAGGTATATTTACGGTGGTCAAGGAGTATGTATGGTTGCCGAGTGTATTTCCTCCGCGAAACACACCTATTACCATAACTACTCTGGGGAACAGCGACGACTTTGTGCATAATGCTGCCGACTTGCACGCCCTCCCTCTACCTCACTCCATGCCCCCCTATTTTGCAATGAAGAGACTAGGTCGGAAGGATTTGGAAAAGGTTCGGGTGCAGTGTCTAGCGGCACCCTCCCGCTTTCCCCAAAGAGTGCTGAAATGTCTTCCACCTGTCTCGAGTCGAAGAGGCTTCGCATAGGAGTTTTTCAGCCTTGGAGAGGTGCCGCTCTGTCTTCGCGAGTCAATCAAGGCGACTACGGAGGGGTAACCGCTGCGTTCGGCATAGAATAATGAATCCTCAGGTAAAAGCTGGCAGTCCAAATGGGCCGGCCTCCTCGAGCAGGTAGTCAATTTGTTGAGTCGCTGATCCACTAAGGTGACCACCCCCTCTCCCCCCCCCCCCACATCGGTCTTGCTGTAAGGGTCGTTGTTGGTCTCATCCAGTGTGGAGGTTGCGGTTTTTCAACTGACACTCCACATTGTTACAACCAAATTGTTAATTTTGGTTGAGTGTTGTCGTCTTTGTCCCGTGCGGCTACAAATTCCGGGATCAGAAGCTCCTGAAAGACAGAAGTGGCCTGTTATCCAACCTGCAGATGATGATTACTTAAACCGCTTCTAGTGAGGCGTAGCTACGGAATAAGCAGGCATCCGGTCGTGCGGCGACAGTGGTCTGGGGCTCGGCTGATCCGCAACTGACAAGTCGGTCACCGCTTAGAAGGTCATAAGCCGCAGGCCTGTTATGCCATGATTACTGCGACGCCCCACGACCTGTATAGGGTTGTTTGGATGAAGAGACACTTTTGACGCGCTGAGCTATGACGGAGATGGCGTAGCTGCGTGTCGGTGACAACGGCCGGTGACTCCCTCGCTCCACCGCCGAATCCCTCCTTGCAACTTTCCGTAAGGCTTGGCGGCTTAGCAACAGAAATCCGTTCAGCCGTTTAGATTTGCCGGGCGTTATCGATGTTACCTACCAGCAACATGCTGCGTAACCATTCGATTCGATCCCTGTCTGCCAAGGATTTTCATTTGCTAGTCTCTCATACAGCTCCCCCGTCTAAAGGTTGAAATGGCCGTGGGACATGTTACTCCCACAACTCTTGGTTATTGCTTCTACGACTCTTTAGGATTTAATTCAGTCGTCTACGGGGGGCGCTTGACCTGAAGAATGTAATAGTCATGCAAGTTTTCGTCTTTTCTCAGGTAAGAAACGAACATGATAACCGAGTGGTCTCTCGAATAGAGTCTTGCGGGGTGGAGAGTGCATTTGTGCTCGACCTGCATTGTCTGTGCCAAAAGCCTCAAATTGGTGGAGAGCAGACTGTCAGGTGTGGCCTAAATCTCCCGTACAAAAACTGTCTATTCCAATCAGTGGAGTTATTTGCGTTCCAATGTTTGAGAGCCCCCAGGGCACTTGAGAGAGGTGCGAAGAGAGTACTTAAACAGTTGCGGAATCTTTGTACGCCATATTCACTCTGAGAAAGTGGAGAAATATTGTATTCAAGCACTCTAGGACGTAAAATGTGGCATTACCTCTTTCGAACCTGATGAGAACTGTAGTTGATGTGATGCTTGGGAGAATGCGTATCACTCAAGTGACGGCCTTTCAACTTGGATTGGCAGCAATTCAAGAGCCCAGATCTTATCGTCTGCTCCGAAATTCAGGCGACATTGAGCAAAACATTAAGGATCTACCCTTACGTACCCTGTCCTACAGTCAAGCCAGATCAATGAACGCTGCTCTATTGCGAAATTCAGCTACTTCCTCTGCTATGCTTGAGTGTGCTCCTGATGTTGCTTTGCGCAGGGTTTATTAATACACGGTGGCATGTTGTCCTTTGAGAATATCTCGAGCCACCTGCATCGACCTCACTTGAGGGCAACTCGGTAGGTTATTGGGGGAATTTTCTTGCAGGTAACAGTGGTTGACAGCCAGACCCCACGCTAACTAGCGAATTACACTAAGCCATGCTTAAATGCTGCGCAACTTGGTCTATCGTTGTCCCCGACGCAAGAGATTACGAAAAATCTGATGTTGACTATTCACAGGGTTTTTCGACACAGCCGAAACGGAAGCTGACGCTATGGGCGTCTGAATTCTTTGTCAAGTGGCCAAAGAAATCCTCGCCAGACTGGCCATTCCAGTGTCCCTTGTCTTTGTCGCGGATGTTCATTTCATTCATAGTTACCCCTAAACCAGGGATTTTCTGTGCACGGCAGGGCTTAGTGTCTGTCACAGTAAGCAGCCACAGAGTATTGTGTGTTGTTTCGCCCAGATTAGAATCCTACTAGGGGCTTCCAGCAGGTCAAAATGAGTGGCTGACAGTTGGAATCGCGACCGCCTGCCTATAGTATGAGCCGTTGTGTGGTTGCTGGTTGGGCTCGAGAATGGAATGACCAGTTTGCTTCAATTCATAGAGGCCTGCATATACAACTTCAGTGTGTTATCATACTATTGCTACTTATTCGGTTTAGGTAGTTTTACATGATTTAACAAGATTATGTGGGAGTCGCTTGTGAGGTTGGGTTTTATTTTATTGTGGTAGAAGGGCGCTCACTGATCGTGTTATGGAATTCACACGTCCCGTTTTGCCTTAGGGCTCTCTCTGGAGCCCAACCAGCAGCCACACAACGGCTCGTACTATAGGCAGGCGGTCGGGATTCCGACCGTCAGACATTGATTTTGACGCGCTGGATTATAATTTAGGTGAAACAGCACCCAATACTGTCTGGCTACTTACTGTGACAGGCAATAAGCCCTGCCATACACAGAAATCCCTGGTTTAGGGGTAACTATGAATGAAATGAACAACATTCCCGGCAAAGACAAGGGGGACTGAAATGGTTATGGTATTACCAACAAAGACAAGGGAGACTGGAATGACCATTTCTGGCTTATTAGCCGTCGTCAGCCAGCCATACCCAACCCCGAAATGTGGAACACCCGAGGCTCGAAATTGCAACCTATTGGTTAGCAGTCCAACTCCTCTAACCACTGAGCCACGGACTCGTTGTCCTGCCGCTATATATACCCGATGGCAATCGGCAGGATAACGAGTTGGTAGCTCAGTGGCTAGAGACATTGGACTTCTAACTAAAAGGGTCGCGGGATAGAACCCCAAGTGTTCCATACTTCGGGCTTGGGTATGACTGTCTAACGACTGCAAATAAGCCAAAAATGGCCATTCCAGTCTCCCTTGTCTTTGTCGGGAATGTTGTTCATTTCATTCATAGGGATTTTCTGTGTACGGCAGGGCTTATTGCCTGCCATAGTAAGCAGCCAAAAAGTATTGGTTGCTGTTTCACCTACCAGAGGCTTCCACCGGGTCAAAATGAATGTTTGACCGTCGGAATCCCGACGACCTGGTCCCGACTGCCAGCTTTCTCTCCGTCGTAACAAACGTATGTTTGTTTGGTGTAATCAGATAGGTTCACATGTAAATGTCTGGTAAATACTATTATTTGTCAATGCATGCATGTTGCGTCAAAGTGGAAATGCATATGCACTAACTACCGAAGTGTATTAAGTAGTATGGGAATGAACGTTTAAACTTCCACTAAAGTTAATTGGTTCACACGTCGCCATTCAAAGGGGTGTCCAAAGAAACAAGTACGAAAGTGTTAGTGAAACATAGCAAGTAGTATGCTTGTGACGCAAACTTTCGGAAGGGATGACAAAAGGAAAGAAATTTGTTTATTACAGGGGACGTGCTGGTACGCATGCCTGTACTAATCAAGCTTCCTCTTAAATGTGCTCACGTATGGGAACATGGCAACGTCCACAGGCAGAGCATTCCATTCCTTGCACCCAGTTTTGCCCCAGTCACATGTGGTTTGAGAGGACGTCTTCTCAAGCTAATATTGATGGCCAGCCTGAAGAAATCGACAGATGCGAGGTAACAGTCATGACTCCGCAACATGCGAAACGCCTGTATTAGGTTGCGACGTAGCTGCCTGTAGTCCCGGCGGGGGAAAAGGTCCAGATTGGACGATCGTGTTTCGTATGTCAGGTAGCCTTGGCCTCGGCTGCCCGTCGTTGGACTTTTTCAAGAGTGCTGCGATCTTGGACGGTCCATGGTCTCCAGGTCTGCACGACAGATTTTGCTTGTTGTCTCACGAACATCCTGAAGAGCTTACCAAACCACTCTTCGCCGAACTCCGCAAAATCCCTCCTGATGAGTCATAGGCCTGTCACTGCCGATTTAACCACTTTCAGGCAGAGTAATTATGGCTTCAGCAAGGTTGTAATCCACACGCCTAGATCCTTCTGAGCCCCCCTCTCTCTGGTAGCGGTGTG